AATGACCACATCCACACCATTTGAAATATTATTTAAGCAACACAAAAAAATTACACCAGAAAGTCTGGTCTAGTGTAGAACTAGTAAGATCCTTGCTTAAACTCTACCCCACTGTTGTAGCCCCAAACGCAACAGAAAGGCACTATGTACTCCGTACTTACCCACGACATTTATTTAGGATAGATTTTTTTTACTGTGGTAAAATACACATAGCAATTACCATCTTAACCATTTTTGTGTCTACAGTTCAGTGTTATTAAATACACAGTGTTGTGAAACCATCACCACCATCCAATCCCATAACTCTTTTCACCTTATGAAACTGAAACTCTTTACCCATTAAACAATAACTCCCTATTTCCCCCTCCCCCAGCCTGCGCAACTACCATTATGCCTTCTGTCTTTGTGAGTTTAACTACTCTGAGTAACTCATATAAGTGGAATCATAATAGTTTGTATCTTTTTGTGATTGGGTTATTTCACTTAACATAATATCCTCAAGGCTCATCCATGTTGTAGCGTATTGCAGAATTTCCTTCCTCCTTTTTTAGTTAACATACGGTGTTATATTAGTTTCAGGTGTACAATATAGTGATTTAGCAATTCCATACATCACCCAGTGCTCATCAAAAGTGCACTCCTTAATCCGCATCACCTGTTTAACCCATCCCCCCCCACCCCTCCGCTCTGGTAACCATCAGTTTATTCTCTATAGTTAAGAGTTTCTTGGTTTGTCTCTTTCTCTTTTTTTAATCTTTGCTCTCATCTGTTCTGTTTTTTAAATTCCACATATGAGTGAGATCATATGGTATTTGTCTTCTTTTTTTTTTAAAGATTTTATTTATTTGACAGAGAGAGACACAGCAAGAGAGGGAACACAAGCAGGGGGAGGGGGAGAGGGAGAAGCAGGCTTCCCGCCAAGCAGGGAGCCCGATGCGGGGCTCAATCCGAGGACCCTGGGATCATGACCTGAGCCGAAGGCAGACGCTTAACGACTGAGCCACCCAGGCGCCCCGGTATTTTTCTTTCTCTGATTGACTTATTTCGTTTAGAATTTCCTTCCTCTTTAAGGCTGAATAATATTCCATTGTATGTATACACATTTTACTTATCCATTCATCCATCCATGGACACTTGAGTTGCTTCCATGTTTTAGCTATTGTGAATAATGCTTTTATGAACATGGGTGTGCAAGCATCTCTTTGAGACTGTACTTACAATTCTTTTGGTATATACATAGACACCTATTTATTTTTTTATACTGGCTCCAAATAGCTTAAGTAATTTAAATAACCAGACTGTTAAATAGACTGCTCATTCAACATGGGCAAATTCATTCTTCTTTCATTGGAAAATATTTATTGAGAGCTTTCTTTGTGGTCAAGAATGGGCTAGATCCTGGGGGTACAATGATAGCAAAAATAACTTGGAAATACAGATGATATGAGCATTTTCTTTGATTTAGGAAAAAAACCCCACCAGTTAAATATATTGACCAATGTCCATCCCTGTAATAAAGGGTGAAGATGATTAGAGAATTCACAAAGTGTTCTTTCTTACCTTTATTTTTACTCCTGTTCTGTGGTAAAGACTCAAGTATTTTCTTGTGAAGATGACGTGCTTTTTCATTATTCCATGACGGAGTTCCAAGGAGTCAGGCTTACATTTAAAGGATGGCATTTAAACACTTTCTAAATAATTCACGTACTGTATCAATTAAGTAACGCTCAAGAGCTGGTTTAAAATTCCTCTATAGGGGCGCCTGGGTGGTACAGTTGGTTAAGCATCTGACTCTTGGTTTTGGCTCAGGGTCGAGATCTCAGGGTCTTTGTGCTCAGAGCAAAGTCTGCTTAAGACTCTCTCTCCCTCTCCCTCTGCCACTGCCCCCTGCTCTCTCTCTAAAATAAATAATTCTAAAAAAAAAAATAAAATTCCTTCTGTAATACTCAACAATGAATTGGGATAGGGAAAAGGGGGAAGGAAGGAGTAACATGGGGACAAGAATTCCAGACCAATTCATCCATAGTTCAGTGATCAAAAATGTTACCTGTCTTGTTTCATTTTCAGCTTTTGTTACTATCTTATTTGTTCACTTTCGGATTTTCACTGGATGCCCAAATGAAAGGAAAAATTTGGGGTAGGATCTAACCACAGACAGGTGGACTGTATCTTTTAGTTCCAAAATGATGCTTTCTATCACAGTACCCAGTGGAAAAACAAAGAGGGCCGGGGAGCGCCCAGGGATCCATAAAGCTGTGCAAGGCCTTACTGGCAGGTGCAATACTTTCTCAGAGGTCCTGAAAGTCTCCTTTGAGTTACCTTTGCATGTCTCGGCTCACGTCATCTTCATGGTGATACAAGACTGTTGATGCCTGTGGCCAAATGAAGGCTTGGCTTATTCATCCAATTTTCCACCAAAAGGAAGAAATGGTCAGAGAAGGCCAAAGGGTAACCAGGAACCTCAAATTTTGCCTGAACTTTTCATAAGATTGAGAGGCAGGGCTACTTGGGTCTTTCACAAGAGGGATTCTTCTCTGGATTAGAACTGTGATAGTTCCCAACCTTCTAGGGCAACTATTAGGAAAATGGAGGAGGATGGCTGTGAGTCTTTGTGGCTCCAGGAGCCATCTTATCCTTCAATTCTTCATCAGTTGTGATTTCTTCCATGAAGTCTTCCATAATTTTCTAACTTGGAGTAATTTCTCTTTTCACTGCAACAATATCCTCTCCTCTGCCGCTAAGTATTGTATTTCTTATGTTATATACATGTCTGGGCTTTATAACTAAGCCTCTTGGAGGCAGGATCCCCACTAGATTCACCTGTGTATACCCAACTGCACTTACGGTGCCCAGCCCAATCTTTAAAAAAAAAAAAAAAAAGAGATTAATGAATAAGTAGGTAAATTTGAAGAAGACCTGAGATCCTTCAAGTAAGTAGAAGATATAGGTCATTAACTGCAGAGAAAATAGGGTTTCCTGTGTTCCTGGCAGGGAGGGAGATCAGGGAAAGCTGGGGACAAAGCTGGGATGGAATCCACTGACCATGGCATTTCAAGAGCATACATAATGAGTACACTGATGTTGGGGTGCAGCTTTTCAAACCACTACCCGTACAACTATTTGTTCCATATTTCATTAAGATGGCTAGCATGCTAAAATGTTATCTTGGCATAAACGGAATACTTTTTCTATGAAGGGCATTCTTTTATGTTATTTTGCTGAAAAATCAAAGAAGGCAGGTCCACTCTTAGCATTTTCATTTTACAGGTGAGGATGCTGAAGTGAAGAAGGTTGAATGACTTAATGTTCTTATTCCATTTTCCCTAAGAAGGTAGTCAGAAATGAAAACCCAACTTATATTATGAGCACTCATTATTTTGTATGAAGTCAACATTTCAATAAACACCAAGGTCTCATGTAAGTCCAAATTGTTATCATTAGTCAAGTGACATTAAAGGGATTGTTGTGTTTTACAGACTCATTATATTAGGATATTAAAGAAGGCCAGCATGCATCACCTAGCTTGAGTATGGTGATATATTTGATAGTATTCTCTGAAGTCTTTCTCATTAAATTTGATTTGGCTTGTGTGGTAATATTGTAGTCTTCAACAGGAATGTAGGCAAATGAAGTTAATAATACATTAAAATGAATCATAGTGGAAATCAGGAAGGAGGGGAACAGTTATTGAGTTCCTGCAGGGACTAAAGTTTAGTTAATTAAAAAAATAACTTGATTCTCCATCTCTGTGAAAAACTTAGCTTTAAAATACAAGTCAACTGTAATTTAAACTTCTGTATTTGGGCTACTTGCCACAAAGGAACATGGGTGTTAAATATAATTAACAGAGATCACAATATTTTCACTAGTTATAGGTAAGGAGGATCAGGCATACTGGAAAAAAATGCCTACTCCAGGTTCTCTGGAGAATAACTAGCGGCCCAAATGACAACCCATATTCTTGTAAAATACACTTTCCAAAAGAGTGAGAGTCCTTTTACTGTTTACAAGTTATGCAAAGAATGAAATACAAAATATTTCCCTTTTTTAGTCACTAAAAATGTGTGTATCTATATTAATGATCACATAAACCTGAGTTTATGCTGGGCACTTTTACTTACAGCTAAAAAAGAAGAGAAAAGATAAGAAAAGAAAAGACCACTAGCACCTACTTAGAATGTGAACCATGTTTATATGAAAACAAGTATTTTGTCATCAGTCTATTTTCCATACCTTTTGCAACTGGAATCTTTATATTTAAAAAATTTTTATTTATTTTTTTAAAGATTTTATTTATTTATTTGACAGAGAGAGAGAGGGAGAACATAAGTAGGGGGAGCAGGAGAGGGAGAAGCAGACTCCCCACTGAGCAAGAAGCCCAATGTGGGGCTCAATCCCAGGACCCCGGGATCATGACCTGAGCTGAAGGCAGATGCTTAACTGACTAAGCCAAGCGCCCCTATTTTTAAAAAATTTTTAACAGAAATTAGAATTTTAGTAGTTCCAGAAATATAACAAAGATGGCTTTAAACTGTCCTATATATTGGTAATCTCCTAAAAACTTTTCAGGTTTATCTTGTATTCCAAGGCACAGTCTTCATAGAGACCAAATTAGAGTGAGACCAGACAACAGAACAAAAGAGAAGGGAAATATTCATGTCAGCTGTTGAAAACTAGTTTTGTAAGGCAAGGCCTAGAAATCTTTATCTCTGGCATGTTTAGTATGGAATGCATACTTGATTTTCATTCAGCTACTAGAGAAAGGTATTCTACAATGACAGATAGCTTTATCAAAATTACAATTAGCTGGCTTCCTCTGTAGGGAATAGCAGTTGGGTAAGTAAGACTGAAGTGAGAGCTCTTACCAGGTTTCTCAGAAATGATTTCCCCATCATGGGTATTTGGTCAACTGATGAGGTCTACCATGAACATATGGTTTCTAGAGGAATGAGCTGGGATCTGCTAACATTTTTAAAAGGAACACTTAGTAAATGCTGATCTCTAAGCAATAAATTGTCAATTTATTTAATTTTCAAGAAACGTTTTTCAAAAAATATTTTTTTCCTCTAGGATTAACATGCTCATTCTACTTAGATTGTTTAGAGTGCTTTTTATTCTGCCTAAATTTTTACAATAAGGTGAAATAAAAGATTCAAAAATGGTTTCATAATACATGGAAGATGAAATCTCACATGGATAGCATATAGTTTGATTCTTACATATGCATGATTAATCAAAATTATATCCTTAAATGACGACTTGATATTTTTCCAGTTTTACTCAAACACTACTGTGTACCATTTATTTTACAACTGATATTTTTAGGATTAACTTTATTAACAGTATGATATTTTCATGCATTAAATTTTACACTAGTTTTAATATTCACAATGTTTGATTAAGTTCAAATCAACAAATATTCAAGCCTACATGAGCAATGAATGAAATATTACCTTTTCACATAATCAGCTAACTGCTTTTTAAGAGTAAAAAGTTAATATTGGGATTTAAAAACCTACATTTCCAATGTTACTGTTAATTCAACCATATATATATTACTTAGGCCACAGGACTGCCCATTAACCTTTCTTGTCGGAGAGCAATTAATCTCTTGAACCACTTTTCCTCAGCATCAGCTTTCTCAATAAATAACTGAAATAAGAAAAAGAAAAAGGAAAAATGTTATTGTTTGCCAATAACTTGGATTTGACCTTATGTAACATAAATTACCTTTACAGAATACATCTTTCAGCACAAGATTTGGATACTGTTTAACTTTTGGTGACTTCTCAACTGAAGATAATCTATTTGGAATTAATAATGTTTAGAAAGTCTTGGAGAAAAAGTGTAATAGCAACATTGTTTGTTAACAATTTTACGCCGTGTTTTGTGAAGTTTATTTCCTATGCTTTTTCTCAGAGACACAGCGGAATGACACGACTTCAGAGTAGATAGTAAAATACGATGTCCGTGACAGGCTCAGTTCAATGAACCAATGAGAGCTGAGGCAGAAGTAGATCTTTTAGTGCCAGATTTAAAAAACCAACCAACCTCTTCTTTTTGCCTATTTTTGTTAAGCATAGGAAGACTACTTCTAAAAGTCAGACAACACGATTTGGATCATACCAGATTCAAATCCATGTAACTGCTCTAAGGGACGGGGGTCAGCTGCCTATTTCTAGCAAATAGGAATATATGAATCCATTTCCTCCAACAGTCTTTTTGTCATCAGCACAAAATGACAATAGTTTGAATTCATTTCAGTCAAGTAGACTTCAGTGGACATTCTTCAGATCTAAGGATCTTACATTCGGATGGGCCAGAGAATTGTCATCTTGGTACTTGATGGCAGTGGGGATGCTGCTGGGGTCTATTTCTTTTTCACTACTGGGAGGGTCAGGAACTACTGTTGCTGGTCCCGATGTCGCAGCTGCATGCTTCACCTCACCAGGCTCCACGGACTGAAACATGATACATAAATGTTTTATTAATTAGATCACAATATATAATTAAAATTCTGCCTTAACAATATTTTTTATTTGGAATAGCAATTGTTCATTTAGTCTCCTTTGAGATAATACTAATCATAAAAAGACCCTGGGTGATGAGTAAGAACAATTCTGAAAACAAGCAAAAAAATACAAAAACATGGAGAAAATGTTGATTGTTTTTTTTTATGATCAGCATGTTTGTCTTGAGAAATTGGGACTTAGGTGTCTATACTATAGAAAAACATATTTCATAAATCTAAATTCTATTAGTCAAAACAAGCAACAAATCTCCAGCATTCATTTGGTCTCTTTAGAAATGAAAAGCAAATTCAAAGGTTTTGTTTTTGCTTTTTATTTATTTTTATTATTATTATTATTTCTAAATATTTATTTGAGAGAGAGAGAGTATGAGAGAGAGAGAGCACAAGCAGGGCGGAGGGGTAGTGGGAGAGGGAGAAGCAGACTCCCCGCTGAGCAGGGAGCCCGATGCGGGGCTCGATCCCAGGACCCCAGGATCATGACCTGAGCTGAAGGCAGACGCTTAACTGACTGAGCCACCCAGGCACCCTGTTTTTGCTTTTTAAATAACAGCCTCAATGAGATATAATTCACATATCACAATTCATATAGCTTTTAGCATATCCACAGAATTTTGCGACCAACACCACAAGCAACCTCAGAACATTTTCATCCTCCCACAAAACCCCATACCCATTAGCAGTCACTGCTCCCCATTTCTCCCAGCCTCCCCATCCCTATGCATATCATCTATTTTGTCACTATGGATTTGCTTATTCTGGACACTTCATACAAAAGATCATACATTATGTAGTTTCTTGTTGTTGTGGGTTTGTTTTGTTTTCTGTGACTGGCTTCTTTCATTGAGCATGCTTTCAAGGTTCTGCCATGAAAGGCTGAAGCATGTATCAGTATGTCATTCGATTTTATTGCTGAATGATAATATTCCATCACGGAATACTAAGTGCCAGGCGCTGGGCTCAGGGCTGTGGATGCGAGGACCGATAAATCATTGCTGCTGCCTGGAAGAAGCCAGTCATGCTGTGCTCTCTTGGGCTAATTCCCATACTTCCCTGTCTGGGAAAGGAAAAGGCCAGGGAAGTGGCTAATCAGCAGCAAGGCTGCAGGAATGACATGAAATGGACTAGATGAGAAGCTGAAATCGGAAATTAAAATAAAAAAACCCAAGATGACTGGGAGATTAATTCCACTACTCGGCCTTTTTTCTACACCTACTGGTTCTATATGTGTACTTTTTGAACCTCCATTTTCTTTTAATGTAGCTACTTCTGAACATCTACTTCTCTGAGTGAAGGGTAAAACAGATGTCACTGGGAAAAACATCTAGAAAATGAAATCTACACAAATTAGTTAATCCTTTCTTAGAATGATTTATCTTAGAACTGGATATCCATCTTCAGTATTTATTGAGTGCTACTAACTGCTAAGCACTGGGTACACAAGGGAGAGTAAAATAGGTATGTTCCCTGTACCAAGTGGAGATCACATTTTGCTAATGGAACCGACAGATAACTTACAAATAGGTATCAAAATAAAGACATAATCACACATTGTAACAAGGGACATAGAGATACTTAAAAAAATAACTGTTAAATCTGGCAGTTTTCTTCTTGTATTTTGAAGCCAATACTCTCCCCACCTCCACCCCCAGGTGTCAAACCTTTCTATATTTCCAACATACTAGGCCTAGAAGGCCTACAGCCCTGTATGATATTATACTGACCCTTTATAAAACGGAGGACGTAGATCAGTAAAGCCCAACATTCTGCATAGGGAAAGGTGGGAAGTATGCTAATCTAATGACGTCCAGACATCATTTTTTGGTAGTCTATGCTGCATGCAGAGAACAGAAGAGCATGTCATTCTGCCTGTCTTAGCCATGCTTTGATAGGGCTCAGCTAGGAGACTGGCAGTATTGAACTGCCCTGAAGAATTGTGGAGTGTTGTTATTCTAGTTGCCAAAGATGTGGATCGCACATATTCAGGCGGCAGAGATAACATTCTATTATAAAAGTGAACTGGTCTCATTCTGTTTATACCTACAGTACATGAACATTTTCTTGGAGAAGTGCTTATGTACATTTCAGGTAAAGTTTTCAGAGATTAGGATCAGAGCATGGAAGTTATTATTTAAGTGGATAATTAAAAAATATATGACAGGAATCATCAATTGCTTCTTTATTTTTTATTTTTTTTAAAGATTTTATTTATTTATTTGACAGAGAGAGAGACAGCGAGAGCAGGAACACAAGCAGGGGGAATGGGAGAGGGAGAAGCAGGCTTCTTGCCGAGCAGGGAGCCCAATGTGGGACTCGATCCCAGGACTCTGGGATCATGACCTGAGCCGAAGGCAGACGCTTAACGAGGCGTCCTGCTTCTTTATTTAAGTGAGGAAAACTGTTGGAGAAATTTTGACTATAAAAAAACCCACAACACGGCCACTATCAAGTATCTGGCTTTGAGTAGCACTGCCACCTGGTGGTTCAGTTTGGAAAACTTGTTTTAAAATGTACTTCAAGTAAAAGAGTAAGTTAGACCCTGCTGCTTTAGGGTTATTTATCCTCTTTCTGAACATAGGGGGGTGTCTGCCAGCTACAACTATTTTAGGGTTGAATAACTGGCAATAAGCTTATTTGGGACAGAAGTTTGGAAACAAACTGCATCTTGGTTCTTGAAGATGATATAGCAGGAACTACCAATTATCTACTCACACAAGAGAGAGATGATTGCAGAGAGTTAACCTGTTAAATCTATATGTGTTGACGGAGACACATGTCTAGCATGTTATTGGAAATAGCCACTTTCTGGTAACAGCTCCTTAGCTTAATTAGTGGAATTCACACAGCTGAAGAAAGACTCTATCAACTGAAGGGGTGGTTAGTATAGAGAAGCCTTTTTCAAAGATATAAAATTTATGCCAATGTGTGTAGAACTGTCCAGAAGAGAAAGATGTTGAAACCTGGGTCATGAGTAATTCAGTCCTCAAGAGAGTTAGTCTTTGCTGTGCATCAGGGATAGCTCCTATCTCCCCATGATCTGGGTGAAATGGTCCTCAAGATAATTTACCTCCTTTTGCTAAGTAATCTCCTGATAAATAATTCAGCTTCTTGGGCATCCTGAATAGCTACCTTATATTGCAGACACAGACATTTTAGAAACTGGAAAGGGATACCGTTTTCTAAACTAATAAATTGGCCTTCTGTTTTATATTACAGTTGAGTGTAAATTTATTCACTGTTGGCCCATCACTGCTTTTCTGATCATTTTGAAATGCAGTGACTAATAAAAGTCCAGTGTTAGATGGCTAATACTTTAGACTGTTGTGCATTCACCAAGGTAAATGCCATCTTCTTTTTTTTTTTTTTTAAGCATACTCCCCTGTTAGTGAATGCTTTCTTTATACTTCAATAGGGAACGTGCACTGAGTTCACAATTATGAGAGACATTGGATGAGTAAAAACAAACATGGGCTCTGGAGTTGAATAAATTTTGTGTGGATGCTCTTGTCATTTATTAGCACTTTGACCATGGGTAATAAAATTTGCTGAGCCTCAGCTTGCTTAGTTTTAAATAAAGGTTACTGGGATTTTAGATAACTTACATATGCTAAATGTCTAGTATTATTGGTAGCTATTATTATTTTAGTCACTTCAAGTTACTTAAATATAAAAAACAAAATGGGGCTATGTTACAACATTGTTTTACAACATTTGCTTCATGCTTTAATGTTTCCAAATGCTGGGCTGAAACAAATTGGCTCAAAGCTGCTGTCTGTACACTAAACCAGTAAGCTACTACATAAAGCTGTAAAGTATTTTTTAAATTATTTGCTTAGGAATACAATAGGTTACCAAGTTTCCAATGAGAATTGTAGGGTCTATAAACCATAAAAAATTACATAAAACAAGCTGTGACCCAACCAAAATGAGAATCCTTGCATCTCCAATTCCTTTTAAGGAAGCCAGAGACAAATGCAGCCCTGAGCATTCAGGAAGAGGAAGAGGTGGAGCAGAAGCAGGGAGAGGAAGAATAATAACAGCTTTTATTTCCTGAGTGTCAGGCTAACTATTTTATGTAAAGTATCTTGCTCATCCTTATAAAAACTTCTGCCAGGGTATTACCTCCCTTTTAAGATAAGAGAGCCATGGGGTTATCATGTGGTTTAAGGACACATAGCCAGTAAATGGCAGAATCAGACCTGACCCTGCATCTGTCTGACCCTACATATCATGCTTTTGACCACTGCTTCCTAACTGCTAAACCTAAGATTTATTGTTATTTGGTTTTAATTTTAGAGGAAAGAAATAAAAATGTTGGTAAAATATTTTAATTACATACATTTTTAAGTGGCTCAACTCACAGTGCTGGATTAATATTTCTAGGTTGCTTTTGCTTCTCCCTCATACTTATCCAATCTAGAACCAGCCAGCTCAAGGCCTTCCAGAATTGATTTTATTTCTTTGTGTGAATTATTATTAAGGGCCACCTCTTTTAAAAGACAGCTGAGGGCGCCTGGGTGGCTCAGTTGGTTAAGCGACTGCCTTCGGCTCAGGTCATGATCCTGGAGTCCCTGGATTGAGTCCCGCATCGGGCTCCCTGCTCGGCGGGGAGTCTGCTTCTCCCTCTGACCCTCCCCTCTCTCATGTGCTCTCTCTCATTCTCTCTCTCAAATAAATAAATGAATCTTTAAAAAAAAAAAAAAAAGACAGCTGAAACAGTAGATGGGTTTTTCTTGCACAGATTCATGAACATTCCTTATGAAATTGAGAGGCCCCTGTTTCATCTTTTTTTAAAAAAGATTTATTTATTTATTTTAGAGAGAGCGAGAGCATGTGTTGTGGGGGAGGGGCAGAGGGAAAGGGAGAGAGAGAATCTCAAGTAGACTCCCCACTGAGTGTAGAGCCTCACGTGGGGCTCAATCTCACGACCCTGAGATCATGACCTGAACTGAAATCAAGAGTCAGATGCTTAACCAACTGAGCCACCCAGGTGCCCCTAGAGGCCCCTATTTCATCTTAATCCTCTCTATCCCTAATGGTGGCATGTGAATTAGAAGTGCAAGAAAAGCTATATTGAAGGTGAGTGAAAATTCCAACTTGGCATTGAACACTGAAACAACAGAAACTAGTTATTAAAATAATTAATAATGATGGTCCCTTTGATCAGAGATATAGGTGAAATTCCTTTTATTGGTCCCATGGAAAGCCATTTAACTATACAGGCTTTTATTAGAGATTTAGGAAGAAGACTTTTTTCTCTTGGATTTAGTCAGTTAGCTTAAGATTAATAATCTTCAGAGGTTAAGGGGAAATAATCTTTCAAAACTTTTCTAGGGGATACAATGAGGTGAAAACATTACTAATTCTGGAATTGAAATATACAGATATTTTACATTTATACCTTTCAAAAGACTTTTTTTTTTTTAAAGATTTTATTTATTTATTTGAGAGAGAGAGAATGAGAGAGAGCACATGAGAGGGGGGAGGGTCAGAGGGAGAAGCAGACTCCCTGCCGAGCAGGGAGCCCGATGCGGGACTCGATCCAGGGACTCCAGGATCATGACCTGAGCTGAAGGCAGTCGCTTAACCAACTGAGCCACCCAGGCGCCCTTTCAAAAGACTTTTAAGGTAAAACCTGATCTAAAGATTTTCTGTTTTCTCAGCAAGAGGTCTGCCTTACTGGTGAGCATGGAAACTTGGGGAATATTAAAAAATGTAAATGGGGTAAGGTGTTGATACTTAAGACAGACTGAGCACCGGGGCGCCTGGGTGGCTCAGTCGTTAAGCGTCTGCCTGCGGCTCAGGTCATGATCTCAGGGTCCTGGGATCGAGCCCCACATCGGGCTCCCCGCAGAGGAGCAGGGAGCCTGCTTCTCCCTCTCCCACTTCCCCTGCTTGTGTTCCCTCTCTCGCTGTGTCTCTCTCTGTCAAATAAATACATCTTAAAAAAAAAAAAAAAGACTGAGCACCTACAGCAGAAGTTTTTAAGCACTATGCTTAGTTTACAGAATGTACTTAGATACAGAATAATTTAGGTGCTAGAGTATGTTATTTAAAAATAAGCATTTATGGGATCAAGAACCATGTTAGATATTTGATACTCATTATATTTACTCCTCAACAACTCCAAAAAGTAGGTATTATTGGTTCTATTTTATGGATTTGGAAATTGAGGGATGAAGAAGTTGAGAAGCTTGCTAAAGACCATAAATCATGGCAGGAAGTGTGAGAGTTAAGATTCAAACTCAGATCTCTTTGAGCCCAAAGCCCCATCCTCCTTCCTCTTTATCAGGTACACTTCTGATCCATTTCCTTGCTCATTGCTGGTTTTGCTAGTTATTGGAGGAGTTGCCAGTATTTTGGAGGAAAAACAATGGAATTAAAAATAAGTTTATTATTATTATTATTTTTAAAATTTTTTTAAAGGATTTTATTTATTTGAGAGAGAGAGATCACGAGCAGGGGGGGGAAGGGCAGAGGGAGAAGCAGACTCCCCACTGAGCAGGGAGCCCGATCCCAGGGGCTCGATCCCAGGACCCTGGGACCATGACCTGAGCCGAAGGCAGACGCTTAACTGACTGAGCCACCCAGGCGCCCAAAAATAAGTTTATTATTAATAATTAGTATCAAAAGGGAAAAAGTTGTTTAGAGGAAATCCTGGTATATTAACTAGAGAGGAATAAGTATTTCCACAGAAAGAAAGTGCTGTTTATCTTGAGTCCAGTGAGAGCTGGGAAGTCAGCGTGAACCTCAGAAAACAAATATTAGGAAAGTAAATTTAAAAGTAAATTACAATTCTTTGGGGACATATGAATGACCTTTTAATATGCAAGATATTCAAGAGTAAGATATTAAATAAAATGAGCAACTATACTTACGGATGTCCAGTTTACAGTTCCACCATTTTTTAGGAGTTGTGGTGGCAAACTTTTATAAAAAGTTCAAATGAAATCAGCAAATGAAGGCAGGGACCACGGGTTAACCAGGGATGGCTGGTGCTGCAAACTCAGGCATCAGCACATGCTTGAGTCACTTCTCCAGGAAGATTTAAAGAGTATATGGCAACTGAAAAGATGCTCATGTCACAGGCAACAAAAGAAATGCTAATGGGAAGACAAAAGGTCAATTTTTGCCTGACTACCTAGCAGGTAAGTAAATGTGAAAAAGGACTTGGTGTTAACCATGGTGTGAGAGGCAGATCTCTCCTTGGACTTGTGGGCAGAATCTGGATTGGGATGTTAGTGGAGGATGACTTTGGGAACATGTGTAGAAATAAATAATATTAACCTTAAGCGAGTAACTCCATCTTGAAAAATTGATCTTATGGGGATAATAATGGATATTTACAAACATGTATTAATACTTTCAAGCTTACAGCTACTTAAATTATCTAGTGTCAGAGGAAAAAAATAAATGAACTATGATAAATTTGTCAGCAGGATGCTATACAGTCATTAATATATTTACAGCTGTAGAATATTTTTGAATAAGTGGGTAACAATACCATGTCTTTACTACATGTATGTTATTAAAGAATACATGTATCTCACAGTAGAATGCCTTTTCTGACTAAAGGAACAGATTCCTAAAGGTGGTCCTGATAATAATTGAAAGAATACATGCAATATTCAACAGAAATAAAACGCCAATCAAAACTCCTTTTACTGGAGTTGAATAAGTGATACCAATCTGGGCAAAGAGTGCAGACACATGTTACTATTTGGGTAATAATCGGATTGTTAAAGCTCTCTTCTAACTTTTCTCTAGCAGTGTCAATTCAGAAAGTAGATGTAGACACTTGAAAAGAAAACTGTATGTTCATGAAATGCATATTACTGCTTTAGAACTGTTGACATTTTACTTTGTCTTCTCAGTGAATTTTAAAATAAAAAATGGCATCAGATATATTTTTACAAGTTAAACTTGAACTGCTTCTCACTGATTCATTCTCTCTCTCTCAATAACACGCTGACACTCGCTCACCCTACTTCATCTATCTGTTAGAAGAAGCACTTACATTTAAGTCAAATCCATTAATAAAGCATCTCCTCAGTGGGATTCTAAAGGCTTATTCATAATGTCTGGATGAAAACTTACCTTTTTGACTTCTTTACTTGATCTGAATGTCTGCTGAACAAAAGAATCACTTTCAATGGCTTCAATTTCTTTTACTCTTTTTACTTGTTCAACCAGGGTGGCTTGGTCTAAAAAAAAAAAAGGGTATGATGTCAGTGTATTTTGGTGTGTAAGCTTGTTAACAACAGTATTCTAAGCAAGGTTCTTTCTTTCTATGAAGTAATTTTATGACTTCTGGAATTTAACTGGATGAAAAGATGTTATAGTTAAGCTCTAATAAAAAACTATTTTCCCCTTGAGATCCACAAATACACATTCCTACACACCAAGTCTCTCACCTAAAACCTAATAAAAGATTGCTGAGAAGGTACTGCTATAATGATGCAAGCTAATCTGGGCTAATCTCATGGGAGGGCTTTAAAAATTAAAAAAAAAAAAAACTTATTATGGAAATACATATAAAAGGAATTAACAGCACAATGAATCCACCTGCACCCATCACCAGCTTCTATAGTCATGAACTCTGTTACTTATTTATTGATCGTCACTTTTATTTTTTTGGGTAGATCTGGAGTACTCAAAAGTACCTCCCAGACATCATGCCATATCACCCCTAAATATTTAGTAGGCATTTCAGATAAGGACTTAAAAAACCAAACAGTAATATAACTATAATACCATCTTCACATCCAACAGTATTATCAATAATGCCTTAATATCATCTTATAGAGTCCATGTTTAATTTTCACTGATTGTCCAAAAAAAATTTCTTTTTACAGGTAGTTTGTTTGAAACAGGATCCACCCTCCTACACTGTTGGTGGGAATGCAAGCTGGTGCAGCCACTCTGGAAAACTGTATGGAGGTTCCTCAAAAAGTTGAAAATAGAGCTACCATATGA